AAGAGCTTTCCTGCCCATCACCTGGACCCAACCTGGTCCTCGGGGAGGGCTGGAGCCTGCTGTTCATGCCCACCCTGGAAATGCAGCAGAAGGAGCTGTCTTTTTTCCATCCCCCAGCAGCTTCAACCTAAGTGTAAAGCACCAACCCAGGAGCTGCCACAGGTGTCCCTTGCTTGGTGCTAGCCATGCGGTGGCACAGGCTTTTGTCAACCTGGGCAATGTTTGGGAGGCTGAAACGGGAGTGAAATCTCTGACCTTTTGGTGCCCATGAATGTAAAACTGCCTCAGAGCTTTTTGGGGCTGCCAGCGAGCTGAGGGTGAGCTGGCGTGACGGGAGAGCCCGAGCTCCCGGGAGCGTTTCAAAGCCAGGCCGTTCAGTACTGGACTGCGGAGGGATTGTGGTGTTTTGTTTGGAAAGCCATCCAAAAGCCCTCCAGCCTGGGGGTTGGGAGGCCGGCATAGATCACTTTGAGTGCAGCAGGGCTGAACTGGGTGGCGCTGAGCCAAGCCTGACCTAACCAGCTTATTTCCCTGCTTTCAGTAATGCCCGTACAAATACACCGAGGCCTGAAGGTCATGGCCATGTGAGCAAAGGTCTGGGGATTAGCTGTAGGCAGAGCGCAGCTCCTCCCAGGTGTGCCGTTGTAGCCCTGAGCCCTGGGCACGACTGTGGCTCTCCTGTGTGCTGGAGCCAGCGCGGCATCGGCACCTCAGATGGGTGCCGGAGAAACAGAGGGCTGGCTGGGAGCAGCACCTCCTGTACCTGGCACTTCTCTGAGGTCCAGGAAAATAGATAAATGTTTCCTTGTCCCACATCAGCACTGATTTTCCTTCTGGGTGTTGGTAATGCTGGCCCGTGGGTTGCTTTTATGCATGTTTCCCCTGCAACAGTGTCTAGCTCTGGTTTTGGAAGAAAGCCCAGCAGGTTTGCAAACTTCTGCAGGGCACCTGGTTTGGATGTGCCCACACCTTTGAAGGCCACAGACCATGCTCAGCTGAGCATGCAGGGTCCCTCCTGGGTCAAAGGGTCACTGCTGTCCCCGTTGCAATAGAAGTTACTGACCTAGTGTGGTGCACAAGTGCATTTCTTAGAGCTGGGAGACAAGCTCCAGAAGTCTAATACCGGATCAGGGCATCACAACTGAATAGTGATGATGCATCTGTAGGCACTGATGTCATCAGACATGAAAGCAAAATGACATCTAACAGCATCCTCAGTGCAACCATATCTCTGTGCCTCTGCATGGCTCTGACTCTGTAAAGCCCTGTTTCCTTTTGGAGCTGTTTGAGTGCTCTCCCGGGGGGATTTGGAGGAAAGGGAGATGTGCGTGGGTGCTGTGGGACCTGGCCCGGGTCCTCTCTGTCCCGGGAGGGAGCTGGCAGCAATTCACAGCCCAAGAAATACTTGGGGCTTGCTCTGCACCGCCCACAGGCTGCTGGACGCGCTTGGAGCAAGCCTGATGTTTCTTCCCAGAAAGCCAAACTTTGCCTGTCATAATGCAATGCTCTGATCCCCTCCTTGCTGTCCTGAAAGCCCTGGCAGGCCTCCATGCTGAGCCCATCAGGTGGAATTACTTAATCCAGCCCTGACAAGTGACACCCGCATCGGGAATGTGTCTGTTCCCTCTAATCCCTTGGTGCCATCAGCTGCCTTAGCACGCGCGGGGCAAAACAAGCAACACGTGAGCAGATGGTGCCTTCTCCATCATCCCGCCACCGCTTTAGTAGCCCCAAATAAAACTGCCTCGTTACCTTTTTCCCGTGAGCCGCCCCCATGGTCCGATGTGCCGGCTGTGCCCTGCTCACCGAGGGTGTGGGACTGGCCGGTTCCCTGTGGTCACCGGCCCCGTTACTCTCGGGGGGATGCGCGGCCGTGCAGCTCCCGGCCCCTCGGCGGCCACTGCGGGGAGACACGGGTGAAATCCAGCCCGTCTGCAGCGGGGCCGAGTGGTAAAGCTTGCTTTTCCTCCCTTCTCCCAGCACGTGGAGAACTCATTTTCTTCATGCACCTAACGGCTGGCTCGCGCCCAGGCTCTGCCTGGGCACAAAGGCAGCTTTCATGCTGCGGATGCCCGGTTTCTAAGCTGGGATCCGTATTTTGAGAGGCTGTGGAAGATTACAGTAATTGCACTTGACAGGGCAAGATGTCACAGGATGTGGATTCGCCTGGCTGTGGGGCCCCGGCACCCGTTGGTCCTCGTCTGTGGCATCCTTCCTAGCTGCTGCTTTGCCGAAATAAATCCATGCCCCCAAAATAAGGCAGGATTATCCCTCTGCTACCTGCCTGCATCCTGGCTCTTGGCTCCTATTGCAACACTGGATTTTGCAAACTTTGCTCCTGTGAACGCCCCAGGCTGCCTGTTTGCTGCTGGAGCCCACCGTGGCCCCGTGGTGAGCCCAGGTTACACGGAGCTGCATCGTGGGAGGCCGGGCAGGTCAGGGCTTGTGTTTGCTGGAGTCGCTGGGGGATGCAGCATGGTGAAAACCATCCAGGTAGGTGCCTGTCTTTGCAGTAATACAGCTTTCAAAATGCCAAGGCACTAAAAAAAACCCATTTAGGGATCGCTGTCCCTGCACTCAGCAGCCTTTTCAGACCTTTTTAAAAGATGAGCAAGTTAAATTTGACTTCTGAAGCCATATTTATACCCCTGCCTCCCAGATTCTGGACTTTTGAAAAGCTCAGATTTATTTATTGGGACATGGTGACTTTGGCAGGAATGGCTCCTTAAAACACTGGCTGATGATTAAGGTCCCTGCACAGGAGTTGCTCTTTCAGCTCTCCCTATTTATTGAAAATAGTGGTGTACCTTAGTAATTGCTCAGCAATAGATTTGGAGCTAGTTTTAACTGTCTGTAGTGTGCTGAAAAAGAAATTTCCTTTATTTTGTCTTTAAACCAGATTTCTAATGTGCATTGCACAGGGCTAGGAAGAGTTTCCCGTGGCTGAAAGGGGCTGGTTGTTTTCTGGGCTGTAGCTGATGCTGTGCGCTGGTTTACCCCATACAGCCACCTTTACAGCTCTTAGGCTGTTTTCAGTTTGGCTTACGAGTGAATCTAGATCCTTTGAGGGGGCTTAAAATAGTTGGCATATTTTATGCTGGCAGTGTGGCAGGGCTGTGTGATGTGAGGGCTGTTGTGTCTGTTGCGTTGTGTTATTTCTCGCTGCTGCCATGGGTAGGGATGATTCAGCGCTTGGGATTAATCGCTGCTGTTGCAGCAGATTTAGGGATCGATTTATGGTGGAGGCTTCCCTTGGTGCGGTCAGGTGCACGTTAAGAGCGCAGGAGGATAAGCTGGGGTAAAATACTACAGCTATTGGGGAATTCCTCTGTGATGGCTGTTTGACAGTTTTATTTCAGTTTTGAATTTGGAAATTCTTGTAGGTGTCACACAATTTATTTTGGGATTTTTCCTTGGTTAGGGAAAACCGCTTGCCTCACTAGTTTTGGATGGTGGTGCTGGGTTTTGGATCCAGGGTTTCATCCCCAACGTGGCCGGTGCAGGACAGGCTGTGTCTCTTCCTGGCCTTATCCTGCCAACGCTCCTCACTTCTTCTGCTCACCTGGGGTGACCTGTGGGCTCAGAAAACAAATGTGAACTGCCTGTAGAAGCTGTGCTGGGGCAAACCCTGCTGTTAGAGGCAGAAAAGGCTGTCCAGGATTGCCTCGTGTTACCCTGCACAGCTCCAAGTGCTCCAGCAGAAATGCTCCACCCTCATGTTCTGCAAAACTGCTGGTCTGCTTTAAAGAATGGGGAAAAAACAGATACAATCATAGGAAATTAAAATCTGTATATGATGCAAATTTATCCGTGTCCATGATGACAGATAAGCCCAGGCCATCACTCGCGCAGCTTATCTGATCTCAGCACTGCTTGCTCTCAGGGAGGTTTTGGGTACAGACGGTGCTTGGGTGAATGCAACTGGACACGAGTCGGGGGCAGATGCTCCCCCAGGACCTCCTCGATGTTGGGCAGCAGCATGGGAACCACCCTGGAAGGAGGTCTGCGGGGCTTTGCTGGCCTGTGTTTGGGCAGGGATATCTCCTTTCCCAGTGGTGTTGGCCGGCCCTGGGTCGGGGTGCAGCTCCTGGAGCAAAGCGGGTGTGTGGGTGCCAGCCCGGGTGTGTTGTATAGCTCCAGACTGATGCTGGCTCCGGCTCTCCCAGTAAAAGGCTCCCACCTATTGGTTATGCTGCACAACTTCAGCTGGCTGAGAAACTTGCGCATCCATCCCTCCCTCTTTGCCGAGCAAAGTCAGGTTGGCACCTCGCTGGCGTTATCCTGACCTTTGATGGGGACGTACCATGAAGGACTTAGCTTGGATTTAACCCAGGAAAGGTGCAACCGGGTGGGGGAAATGCTTCAGTCTGCAAATATTAACCTATATTGCTGCAAGCCATCCCTGTGGCCATCTGGCCTTACTGTGGCCATAGGAGACAGCGGGGGGTTGGCAGGAGCTCCAGGGGGGAACCACCAAGGCCTGAGCATCCCCAGGAACGGCTTTGCCCTCTGCCGTGGCGGGGGGGAAGCACCTGTGTGCAGTGCCATGGGATGGGTGATGGTGATGCCCAGCTGGTGGCAGAGGACATGGCAATGCTGTGCCTGCAGGGAAAAGCCTGGATTATGCTTGAAAATGAAGTGAGAAGGTAGTGTTTTATAATCAGATATCTTGTTTAAGAAATCTGAAAAACCTTCTACAAAGTTATTGGTTTAAAGACAGAAAAATAAAATACCCCAAATTGACCCATAGACAAGGACACCTTGGCTGAAACCCGGCCAGGCGTTTGCTCAGGCTCTGCAGGCACTTGCACAGCTCTTCTCCAAGCCCTGCGCAGCCCCTGCTGTGGAACAGCGGGTCCCTGGGGTCAGGCAGCCGCTGCTGGGCTGTGTGACCGGGTTGGGGAGGGGCTGGGGTCAGTGTGATGGGGCTGGGGTCCCTGCGATGGGGCTGGTGTCCTGGTGAGACTGGTCTCACCTCTGTGGCAGACTGGGGCTTGATGCTAATCCATCTTCATGGGGACACAGCCCTCCATCTCCAGCAGCTCAGGCCAGCCGTTGTATTTATTTGTCTCCTTAGCATTTTTGATGTGCTGGAGTAAAAAAAAGAGAGAGAGAAAATGAATGAGGACGTTGGTGGCACAGCGCAAGTTTGCAACGTGACAAAACTTGCAGCTTGGCTCGACATGGGGGATAACACCGCTGGCCCACGTCTTCCGCAGACAGGTAGGTGAGATGGAGCTCAGGAGGTGCTATGAAGAGGATGGAGCCTCCAAAGCTGGTGGCAGGGGAGGGCTACGTACCTCTTCAAAGGGGCTCTTGTTCATCAGCCCTTTCGCTCCCAAGAAGACCCAGTTGTCCCGGAAGCCCAGGTGGCTCACGTGGCTGCTGCCCAGCTCCACAAAATGTGCCCGTACTTGGTCGTTCATCCTGAAAGAAGGTGTTAGTGTGGTGCCAGGTGGGTGTTCCCTCCTGTCCTCTCTCTGTTGCTGGCAGCACCACCTCCAGCTCCCCCCAGCTGCTGTTTTTTGGGGAGCAAGGCATCACTCCCAGAGCCAAACTCACTTTGTGGCAGCATCATCGTAGCTGGCTGATAGCACGATGGTGCCGTGCTTGATCTCTCGGAGGAAGGTATCCAGTTTGTTAATGTCTGGGAGAGAAGAGCA